TTCCAGGTGCTTCAGAGGGGACTGGACACTCAGAGCATGGTGTTACATCCCTGCCCATCCTGGCTAATAGCCACCGATGGACCTGTCCTGCAGGAACTTACCTACTTCTTTATTTAACCTTGCTATAGTTCTGGCCTTCACAGCATCCCTGGCCAGCAGTTCCACAGGTTGACTGTATGCTGTATGAACAACTACTTCCTTTTATTTGTTTTAAATCTGCTGTTTAATCATTTCACTTGGTGCCCCCTAGTCCTTGTGTTATGTGAAAGATTAAATAACATTCTTATTTGTTTTCTTCAAACCGTCAAGATGTTATAGATCTCTAGCATATCCCCTTTTAGTTGTCTCTTTTCCAAGTTGAAAAGTCCCAGTCATTTTAATATCTCTTCCTATTTCATGCCCCTGATCATTTTAGTAGCCCTTCTCTGTACTTTTTCAAATTCTAATATGTTTTGGGGGAAGGACGTGACCAGACTGCCCACAGAATTCAAGATACGAACATACCATGGATTTATTTGAGGCTTTATTATGTTTGTCTTATTTATCTCTTTCCTAATGGTTCTTAAAATCCCATTAGCATTTTTGACTGCTTCTGCACACATGGGGTACCTCTACACAGCAACATTATTTTGAAATAACTAGCGTTATTTCAAAATGACTTTAAACTGCATCTACACAGCAGGCAGTTATTTCGAAATAATGTCAAAATACTGTCAAGCTGGAGGACTTCTTACTCTGACTCCTTGTATGAGGAGTAAGGGAAATCGGAGGAAGAGTGCTCTATTTTGAATAAATGCTGTGTAGTTGCTCCCAGTTTTGAAATAAGCTACGCAAGTGATGTTGCTCAATTTGCGTAGCTTATTTCAAGTTAAGCCCTGCTATGTAGATGCTCCCAGAGTGGCTATTTTCAGAGAACCATTTGTAATGACTCCAACATCTTTTAGCAGGGGGTTGGACTCTATGATCTCTTGAGGTCTCTTCCACACCTGTGATTCTATGACATTTAAGTGTAACAACTAATTTAGACCCAAACATTTTATATGTGTAGTCGAGACAGTGTTTTCCAAGGAGCAGTACTTAGAATTTATCATAGCCCACCTTTATCCACTGTCTCACTGGCTCTGATACCTCCGCCCTAGTTTCAATTTTTGTGGTAAACACTGATTACATCAACACTAGGATTTTTCTTGCACTTATCAACTTAGAAAGCACCAGAGCCACTCACATAGTCTAGCCATTGGCAACAACTTTCAGTACTGCTGAGTATCTGTGACTCCCCTGCATTTTCACAGGAGTGACAAGTGAAATTTAGAATACAGCAAAATGCTTCTGGATTGGCAAATGTCTAGGGGTACATAACAGATTTTATTCCGAAATTACAGTGTGTGTCTACACTATAAGCCTTTATTTCAAATAATGTTGAGCTGGAGGACTTCTTACACCGACTCATAGTAACCCTCATTTCATGAGGAGTAAGGGAAGTTGAAGGAAGAGTGCTCTTCCTTCGACTTCCTGCTGTGTAGACTGTGCCAAAAGCCGAATTAAGCTATTTCGACTTCAGCTACGCAATTGACATAGCTGAAGTTGTGTATCTTCATTCAACTTTTGCCTGCTGTGTAGACATGCCCTAGGGTATTATGGTGAGGGTTAGCTCTCTAGGGCATGAGGAGCTGTGAGGTGGGGCTAAAAAAAGAATCTGAAACGGTAAAGGCATCTTTTTTATTTGCTAATGAATTCTCCATTCACAGATCAAATAGTATAAAGCTGCAGGGTGACCTTAAATCTTACATGATTGCTTTCCCCCAACCCAATGCTGATACCAAACAAGCACTTATTTTTAGATGAAGAACAGGGCATTAGGTACAATGCTCCATTTCATGGGAACACAAAGATACGTCTTCACCTGTCATTCAGCTGATTGACTGGAACTCCTGTGTCTCAAGCTGTTGAAGACTTGGCAGGGAATTGATCACCTGGACTTCCTACTAGAGAATAAATGATAGTGCCCCAGAGGGGCACTAACCAGCATCTCACCATTTACTTTTGTCAAGGAGCCATTCTCCTTCATGCCACTGTTTAAAATGTAAAGGCTAGTCTGAGGAGGGAAGTCATAAGAGCTTTCATAGTTCTTTTCACCAGCAAGATCTCAGAGGGCTTTAACAAAGGTGGTATCATTACCCTCTTAGTAATGAAGGGAGGTCAAAGCACAAAGATGGGAAGTAACTTGCCCAAGGTCACCCAACAGCAGAGCTGGAAACACAACTCGGGATTCCCGAGTCTCAATCCAGAGCTTTGCCTCCTTGCCTAAACTGCTTTCGGAACAGTTGGAGGTTCCAGTCCCTCACATGCTACTATGGGTCAAATTCTGTTCTGAGATAAGCATGTGTAATCTTCATTGACAGCACTTGGAAATTCATGCACTTCCCTGAGAACAGAACTTGTCTAATCATTTTAAAGCACAGTATTATTCCTGTGATAACATTGGTATGTGCTATATGAATGAGTTCTCAGCTTTTCTTGCTTATTTCTGAAAATTGATTGCAGAGAATGGGTGTGGGGCATCTTTATATAGAAAACAGGGTTTATTACCACCAAAAACTATGGGATACACAGTGTTCCAATGAACAAATAATGCAGCTTCCCAACATTCTTATTTCCACCCATCCCCAAGGGGAAGGGACTGTACATTTTCGTGTACAGAACTGGATCATGGTCTGGTGTTATTTTATATTAGATATAAAAAGGTCCAGAGTAATATTCCCAACTAAGAAGAATGTTTCACTGGGCAAGATTTCAAGAAGACTCACATCATATTTGACTTCATCACTCAAGTGAAATTCAGCCTCATGAAGGGCTCAAAGCTATTGAGATCACTGAGGGCCCGTCTATACAGCAGGGCTAAAGTCGAATTAAGCTACGCAACTTCAGCTACATTAATTGCACAGCTGAAGTCGAAATAGCTTAATTTGGCTTTTGGTGATGTCTACACAGCCGGAAGAACACTCTTCCTTTGACTTCCCTTACTCCTCGTGAAATGAAGGTTACCATGAGTCAGAGTAAGAAGTCCTCCTGCTCAACATTATTTCGAAATAAAGGCTTGTAGGGTAGTGTACACTGTATAATGGAAGTAAAATGGAGCCCTTGATTGGTGGCCTCTAGGCATTACAAATAATTAGGATCTTATAATAAAGGGCACTAACATGTCATAAGTATGTCTATATAATATCTACTATGCAGTCTCTATCCTTACCTTGTACAGGAATAAGGGGAGACCAGCACCATCTATAACACTAAAAATAGCTTAAAACTGGGAAAGTAATTCATTTTTATGACAATATTTTTGTAATACTAACAACAGGGCAGTCTTCTTTAACAACAGAACAGAAAAATGATACCTCTTCAGAGAGTATAAAGGATTCCTATCAGTGTATGAGTATATAAATTTAGCAACCTGAAATTAACGCAAACTCAGCTTTGAGCAGACGTAACTATGCGCACACACACACAAAGAAGAGTAAAAGAGAGCTTTATCCCCAGGGGTTTCGAGACTTCAAGTTTTTATCTTTGCACCAGTCACTCAGTTTTGTTTCTAAAAGTCAACACAATAAATTTTGTATTAAACGATTCAAAAGCTGGAGGAACAAATGGTGTGTTGATATAATATGACACCCAAACCAGTTATTTTATTAGCCATCTACCTGTTTCTCTGAGCAGATCATTTTGTTAAATAACTTCTCTTATCTCCACCCAAAAAAAGTGGAAATCCTGCTGCAGCTAATTTTTTGAAGGAGTTAGAATGCATCTGGAGTCTCTATTTCTGCTTTTATGTCTAAATAGTCTGAAACATACTTGAGACTGGCTTAAAAAAAACAGATAGGGAGAAAAGTTTCCAGCTGCTGAATTGGAAATGTTCAGTAACTGCTTGGTATCTGATTAAAGAGAAAATCTTTACCATCTAAATTAAAAAGCATTCAGTGTTGAAAGGTTTTGTAACACCTCTCTCTCCTTTTAGGAAACTAGTACAATAGGTCAGGGAACAATTAGATCATGCCCCAGGATTGCCTTTAAAAATTACTCAGAGGAAATAAAAATGGGGTAGTGCAACCAGTGGAGTGATTTATACTCAATAACCACAATAAGTAATTACTGCATCACTCACTGCTTTTCATCAGCAAAAGGAAGGTCCCTATATAATTTAAGACATTTTCCACACAACAGAGCCTTCTGCTTCTCTGTGTCCTTGTAAGCCAATTACAAAAACTTCAGCAAGTTTTTTTTAAATCTAAGATTTAAAAAAAGCACTAAAACCCAAAAGCATATCACCATGTTCTTCTCAAAAAAAGAAGTTACTGAAATCTTTGACATTGGTCTTATTAGTCTGTGTCAAGTAAGAAAAAACTCACAGTCCTATGACTTAATTAATGGGCTACAGATGAGCAGCTTTTTTTTGCCGGGGGAGGGAAGGAGGGAGGACAATGTCAAAAAAAAGTCTCACAGAACCCAACATATTTATAAGCAGCTACCGGCTCATTTTCTGGAAACTTCATTTGATTTATTATGCTCATGTTTCTCCTCGATCCCAATTACCAAATCCCATCATAAACAAAGTAGATAAGGCCCCTTAGCCACAGCAAAGAAGCCACATTATGGGAAATAAAACTGCATGACAGAAACATTAATTTAAAAGGAGGTTTCTGCTCTTACTGAGTAAAGATACAGCTTCATCTTTCTTACACTGTCCAAAGATTTCACTTCTTGGCATCAGATATGCCAAATCATGCCTTGTATCAGCAAGTTTAAATGTGCTAAAAGAAAACGTTCTATTTTTTTTTAGTTCCTCAAAAGTGCTCTGTTTTTTCAGTCCCTTCTGCCTCTTGTATTTAAGCAAACTGACCAAGCTCTTAATATCACGCAGGTCAGAGTGTACATTTAGTAACTCCTTTGCTGCTACTTTCCAACCTAAGAAAATGCAAGAACATTTTTTGTTCACTAGAACTTACTCTGGATATGGTCAAGGGCATGTTGAAATCCTTTCCCCCTTGCAGTCGGAAACCCCATGGTCCAGGTCCATTGAGAGTCACGTTGTAAGACATTTTGTAACTCTTACTCAGGTCACCAAAAAGGCTCTACAGAAAGGTGGGGGGGAATAAAAATATTTTTAAAAATAAAGGAAAAAAGACAACATTTACAAACACAATAATTGCTTCTTTTTTGCTTTGCCTGCAGAGTC